CGTCCTGCATAGCCAAACATTTCTCAACTTAATGACCATCCTTAAAAAGGATATATTAAGTCCTACGTAGGAGATACTAAGTCCTACGTAGGAGATACTAAGTCCTACGTAGGAGAAAGTAAGTCCTTCGTAGGAGAAAGTAAGTCCTACGTAGGAGAAAGTAAGTCCTACGTAGGATATACTAAGTCCTACGTAGGAGATAGTAAGTGCTACGTAGGAGATACTAAGTCCTACGTAGGAGATACTAAGTCCTACGTAGGAGATACTAAGTCCTACGTAGGAGAAAGTAAGTCCTACGTAGGAGAAAGCAAGTCCTACGTAGGAGATACTAAGTCCTACGTAGGAGATAGTAAGTCCTACGTAGGAGATAATAAGTCCTACGTAGGAGATACTAAGTCTTACGTAGGAGATAGTAAGTCCTACGTAGGAGATACTAAGTCCTACGTAGGAGATAGTAAGTCCTACGTAGGAGATACTAAGTCCTACGTAGGAGATACTAAGTCCTACGTAGGAGATAGTAAGTCCTACTAAGTCCTACGTAGGAGATAGTAAGTCCTACGTAGGAGATAATAAGTCCTACGTAGGAGATAGTAAGTCCTACGTAGGAGATAGTAAGTCCTACGTAGGAGATAGTAAGTCCTACGTAGGAGATAGTGACCCCAAATTTTTTTTTCACCGTGGCCCTACTACGCTTCCGTAATTTCTTACATTCACATCTCTAATCCGGATTTTCTTTCGAACGACTACTTTGAATTGTACGCTCGGAGACAGTTCTGATCCTATTCTGATTAAATCTTGAGGTTATTTCCGACCAGTCAGCGATCGACGGCGTCCAGTTCTTGAGCGATGTTCTGTGCTTCCACGTTCCAGAAATCGCTTTACAACACTGTAAACTGTGTTCCGAGGTAAACAAAGATCCCTGGCAATTTCACTGTATTTTTGGTGCTGTTGGAACTTCGCAGTAATCAAATGTTTAGCAGACTGTGACAATTCTCTTGTTTCCCCCCAATGCTACCGAATGTCGCCTGCGTGCACAAGCAGACGACACAAACGTCTCGTGACTGTCACGTGCTGAAAGAGCAGGGTTAAATTTAGTATCCTGTTGAATTTCACGACCGTACGTCGCCTGTGTCATACAGAATTTGTGTTTGAACCGTTAAATTTCATGATTCTCACTATTTGGGATTTGTTCATAAACTTTTGGCACACTGATGTAGTTTCGAACGTATGTTTACATGAACACAAGGTTTAGCTGTAGGTATGTCTGCATGAGTGAGTGAGTTTAGTTTTACGCAGCACATAGAGAATACTACACGAGGTCTCATTACATACGAATTATACGAAACGAGTGTCCTTTCTATGGTATCTTACCGAGCGAAATCGAGGTCAGATAACATAGAAAGGTCACGAGTTTCGTATAATTCTTATGTAATGAGACCGAGTGTGGTATTTTATTTATTACCCACGTCTTACATGCATTAAATTGACAAAATAGCTTATTTTTGTTCATATTTTGGTTTCAAACCGAAACCGGTTTCATAAAGAGGTTGCGGAAGAGTTTTGTACTGTAGTACAATATTTGCATGACGTCACACTGTAATGACGTCACTGACTTGGTAACCGACGTCACGATGCATGTCAGTTGTCATCGCCTCGTACAGCCTCCTACAGTAAACTACTCCGTAGCACCCCGTTTCTTGGTTTGCAGTTGCTTTATTCGGCTAAGATCACTGGTGGAAACATTGCGTTTATGTATTTCGACGGATATAATGTCTCAGTTCGACTCACAATTAAACAGCGACACGGCAAACGATTGCAATGTTTACATTCCCACAATGCATTTAAGTTGTAGAATGAATGAATTCGCGTGTTTGTTATGAATGAAAAAATAGTTACGTCAGAATGTGACCTTATTGAGAGGTCATCGGTTATCCAATCAAATCGTTAGAATCTCAGGTCAAGTCGTTACGACACAGGTCAACGCGATACGACACTCGTGTGACGTACGAGATCAGTATGCAACTACCCATATGTTGACCACGTGGGTAATGAACAGCAATATTCCACCCATATGGCGGCGGTCTGTAAATAATCGAGTCTGGACCAGACAATTCAGTGACCAACAGCATGAGCATCTATCTACGCAATTGGGATACGATGACATGTGCCAACGAAGTCAGCGAGCCTGACTACCCGATCCCGTTAGTCGCCTCTTACGACAAGCACGGGTTACTGAAGATCAATTCTAATCCGAATCTTCACTGGTCTACCTGCATGAAGGTCTGTATGCATGTATGTGTGTGCCATAATAATGGCCTGATGATAAAGCCTCTCCGTTGTGGGTCAAGATATACCAAAGCTAAAACCATGCAAATATATGCATACAAGATTTGTTCATAAATGTTGGCAGGGGTGTTGTGGTTTAAAGGCACAATTTCACACATTTTCGACAATATTGTGGTCTAGTATACGTAGTTTTAAATGGTCATCTTCGCATGCGAAGGACGAACTTCTACGACAATATTGTGGCCTATATTATATATATTGGGGCATATGCACTTACTTTATCTTCCTATTGATGCAATCAAAAAGTTATTATCCCTTACGACTTATCTGAAATCGATAATTGAAACTTCGAGGCGAACAGCTTCCAAACAGGGAACACTTGCCATATGTGGAATGTAAACAATTGCTCCGTACATCGAAAACTGTCGCACGCGGTGTTGTAGGTGTTTGCCTAACTGGTTTAAATCACAAGTGGCGCTTATGTTTTTGCGTCATTTTGTCAACGACTAAGTTCTGTCTCCAAAGGAGTTAAAGGATGTTCGTAAAGAGCGCTCAAAGGGACATAACTCTGTGGGATTCACTTGAAATAATATTCGGCCGATAGAGGGCGTGAAAGTTAACTTAATGCAACGTTGCATTAATTCATTCGAACTTTTTAATTTAATATTGTAATCTAAATGCGTAATGTTTTTGGGAATTAATTATATGGTAGCTTCCCTGAGGGCTGATAGTCTTTTAGAGAAGTGTGGTGTGAAATAGTGCCTTCAAGTCATTGTTATGGAGATAAAGAGGCACGAGCTGAAATGAGATGCAGTTTTTACACATACATGCGGTGTTGATTGTTAAGGCAACTAATCCAAGTAAACAACCATTGATTGCGATACATTTATAATGGCTGACCAATTATAAGAGCTGATGTTCACACACATAACTAAATCAATGGTGTCAGTAGATGGAATGTGCTTAGTTTCTTGGTTTCATCACATGGCTCAGTTATGACATTTATGTTCTAATTCTCTTCGATCAAACGAACATAATTTTTTTATTTATGTACAACAAAACACTTCGCATGGGTAATGCCTATGGCAGCTCACAGGCGAGCAGGTTTATTGCACAGAAAGAGTATACATAGAACTGACAGATTATTATAGTACGTATCCATCTCATTAAGTCTACACCTCCAGCCATCCCTGCAAAACAAGTTCAACAGCAGAAAAGACTACTTACACATGCACGAAGTATACTACAGATGTTTACGCAGTAGTACTTAATAATGCCGTTAGCATTCCAAGCAAAACCCAAATACTGTTGTTGACTAGGATGTATATCAATGTGATGGTAACCAGATTTTAAATCAAATTTAAACATAAAACCTGTATCTTGCATAAAAAACCAACGCTGTTTTATAGCCCTCAAATACAATCTTTTTTGTAGAAACAATCTGACTGACATACCTAAGATCAAGGATAAGCCTCTTTTTGCCTGAACGCTGTGTAGCTACCGAAAGAAGATTAACAACTAAAGGGGGATTATCAAGCTCGACGATAAAAGAGTTTCTTAAGAGCTCTTCAATAGCCTGTACAACGAAAGTATCGTTCCTCAATGCTGATTGGTTATTTGTAGAAAAAGATGGAGGAGGACTATCAACGAATGGAATAACATAACCATCAGTAATAGTATCGATTACAAACTGAGGGGCTCCAATATTAACCCAAAAGGAAACATGCTTCTTTAAACTGCCTTTCACGATGCACGAAGTGCTGGATTCAAACTCGTAAGACCTTAGTTGAATGAATTCAGAATCTAAGTCAGTACCTCCTAAACCTGCAGAATTATCAATGTCAAAATCTGGAGCACAGGTAGCATCCCTCTGTCGTATCTTGGTTTTATGGACTGCTGGCACCTGAACATCGGAACTGCAACTTCCCACAGAAACTCGATCTAAAACAATTTTAAAGAATACTCTCAGGAAAGATACACACTGTTTAATTGACTAAGGAACAACTTCAGATATTACAGCAACACAATTACCTGAAGTGAATTCTCTACTTCTTGACAACTTGGTTGGACTGTACAGAATCGGAGCTGGCTGACTGGGCTGCACGTAGTGAAGCTGCCGCAGGACAGGAGATCCTCCAGTGGCCGAAACCTCCACAGAAGTAGCACTGCTGGTTGGGAGATGGACCTCGTTTGATCATGGGACGAAAAGGCTGGTTGTGACCGGCTGTAGATTCCCTAGAAGCATCAACCATGCTAGCAGAAGACACAGTAGCGCTTGGTGAAACATAGCTAGGTTTTCCTCTGGACCGGAACGAGGACGCACGTCGTTTACGGAGGGCTTTATTCTCAGCTTTCTCGAATCTACGTTCTTCCTCGGACCCAGAGGCAATATCGTCTCCCTCTAGTTCAGCTACAACGGTCCAGCCAGATGGTGAACGATACGCTAAGCGGATAAACTTGTTCCTCCTCGACATGTCTGAAGAGAGATCTTGGAGAATACCCACACAATCATGGATCAGTTATGACATAAATCGAAACCCTGAGCAATTTGTTATGGTAACCTTTAATGTATTTCGACTCTGCGGAACACAATGGAAATGTTGTAATGACACAGCATGAGGCAAAATCATAAAATACAGCATTATCAAAAAGGTCTTATCCTTTCCAAAATCACTAAACTTAACGTGCAAGTTCCTTTGAATGTTTGGCATTTGATGCACTCCTGCCCTACCCTGGCGTTCTGCAATCCTGGCCTACCCCTGCGGTCTGCCCTCCTGGCCTACCCTGGCGTTCTGCACTCCTGGCCTACCCTTGCGGTCTGCCCTCCTGCCCTACCCCGGCGGTCTGCCCTCCTGCCCTACCCTGGCGTTCTGCACTCCTGCCCTACCTTGGCGTTCTGCACTCCTGGCCTACCCCGGCGGTCTGCCCTCCTGGCCTACCCTGGCGGTCTGCCCTCCTGCCCTACCCTGGCGTTCAGCACTCCTGCCCTACCCCGGCGGTCTGCCCTCCTGCCCTACCCTGGCGTTCAGCACTCCTGGCCTACCCCGGCGGTCTGCCCTCCTGGCCTACCCTGGCGGTCTGCCCTCCTGCCCTACCCTGGCGTTCAGCACTCCTGCCCTACCCTGGCGGTCTGCCCTCCTGACCTACCCTTGGCGTTCAGCACTCCTGCCCTACCCCGGCGGTCTGCCCTCCTGCCCTACCCTGGCGTTCAGCACTCCTGCCCTACCCCCGGCGGTCTGCCCTCCTGCCCTACCCTGGCGTTCAGCGTTCCCAGCACTCCTGCCTGCCCTACCCCGGCGTTCAGCACTCCTGCCCTACCCTGGCGTTCAGCACTCCTGCCCTACCCTGGCGGTTTGCACTCCTGCCCTACCCTGGCGTTCAGCACTCCTGCCCTACCCTGGCGGTTTGCACTCCTGCCCTACCCTGGCGTTCAGCTCTCCTGCCCTACCCTGGCGGTTTGCACTCCTGCCCTACCCTGGCGTTCAGCACTCCTGCCCTACCCCGGTGTTCAGCACTCCTGCCCTACCCTGACGTTCCGCTCTCCTGCCCTACCCTGGCGGTTTGCACTCCTGCACTACCCTGGCGTTCAGCACTCCTGCCCTACCCTGGCGGTCTGCCCTCCTGCCCTACCCAGGCGTTCTGCTCTCCTGCCCAATTACCGCCGTCTGCACTCCTGCCCTACCACGACATAGGGCAGGAGCGGAGACCGCCGTGGTAGGCAGGAGCGCAGACCGCCGGGATAGGCCAGGAGTGCAGGAGTTTGGTTGGCCAATCAGATAATGTATCTCAACTGATATACATTTCACAACAATATTAAACATAGCGCTACGGTTGGTATTTAAAGAAATACAAATTACTGTATTAAAGGAAGATACATCTATCAAGTCGATGAATCGGGAGATAAAAGGACATACTTCAATTTTATAAAACAAGCCCAAACATAATCGTTTGGTATTCCATTTGCACGGTGATGCTTCATGGCTACAAGTGTTCGCCAGTAATACACTGTTCATCTCAGAAGCGTGTTTTTCAGATTATTCGTTAAGATATGACATCAAGATATTTTTAAATTGAGGGCGTTCCCAAACAATTATCATATGTCATCTAAGCATATCAAATTGCTGATCGATCAACACTCATGTTTATATGGCAAGTGGAAGAGTAACAGAGTTATTCCTGTAAGAGATATGGCAGCCTTACACATGTTGGCTATTGTCACCTTGGTCCTTCATTTCAAAATTAATGCTGGTGATGATACAAGGATTATCTCTAGTAAAGCGTATTCTGAGTGCACTCAGTTCATCTCCACCACAAATGCTACCGTCATTGAAGGCATACATAGCGTTGCCGCGTGTGGTGTGCAGTGTTCTACGGAAACCCAATGTGTGGCTTTCAGCGTGTCTGTGGCTGGTGACACGTGCATGATCCACCGTGAGATGTTTCTGACAGGTGTCTGCTACAGTGGAGGGTGGCGCCATTTCAATGTAAGTGGAAACTTTAGGGTGTTTTATTGTACAATTGCTTTAGAAACGAAGCACTTTGGCGTTTCGATACATTAACAAACGTCAGAAGCGTTTGACAACTCTCCATGATCTAGTGTCTTTGCACTTATTATGTCAGGTAGCAAATACCCGTTGTTCATCACACCAACTTCAAAATGTCACTCAAAGTAGTTAAGTGACAAATAGTAGCACTAAAATTTCATAACAAAATATTGGCTTCATAAACAATTGTGGGGCAGTGGGGGTATCCTTATGGTTAAAGCGTCCGTTCGTCACGCTGAAGACCCGGGTTCGATTCCCCACATGAGTACAATGTGTGAAGCCCATTTCTTGCGTCCCCCGCCTTGATATTGCTGAAAAAGTTGTAAAAGAGTGGAACCTAGAACGTACCGACTCGTCATATAAAATGCTACCACACACACAGAGAGAGAGAGAGAGAGAGAGAGAGAGAGAGAGAGAGAGAGAGAGAGAGAGAGAGAGAGAGAGAGAGAGAGAGAGAGAGAGAGAGAGAGAGAGAGAGAGAGAGAGAGAGAGAGACACACACACACACACACACACACACACACACACACACACTCAGAGTTATGTCCCTGACAACAGACCGGCCATGATGCCTGCTACTGGCATAGCAGACGAAAACGAAAACAAACATCTGGTCTGTTTTGAAGTATCACCTTCATATCCCTTTTCAAGTAGGAGTAACAAAAATATTTGGGTGTTCAGTTGTCAAGCAGTGGGTCATGGCATATAACACAATATATGTTTGGTCATATCAATCCCAGAAAGAGATAAATATTTTACCTTCCCCCGAGCTACCAAATTTGAGAAAACTAATATTATCTGTTCTTCTCAACATCTTTGACCACAAAGTATTTCCAGCTTTAGCTTACGGCTCAGAATTATGGGGATTTCATCCCTCACAGGATATAGACAGGGTATACATTAATTTCCTACAGCAAATTCTTTTCCTATGCATTGTTCCCTGTATTGAAACAGAGTACCATTTCTGCTTAATATGTCCTTTTGTCAGATTTGAGAAAATTGTTACCTGGATATTATATTGTTAATCCAACATACCCTAAATTTTATCAGCTATTATCATCCAAAAACCCAGATGTTATCAATTGTCTAGCAAAGTATGAATTGTTTGCCATGGAAGAAAGAAGTAATCAGTTGCAAATAATATCCGATAGCTAATTATATGTTTGCTTTTACAACTCTCCCTGCGTGTGGCCAATCAAGGAGTTGATGGTATATATTTATGGTTTCTAAATATATATAAAATCATGTGTTTTGCACATGTCTGTCTATTAATCCTGTAACTGAGAGTCCTATTGTCCAGTTGAAATATCTACGGTACATCAAGGCTGTAAGAATAACATGGGCGTCAGCAGTAAAAGTAGCGCTACATTCTGGTATTCTAGAGGATGTCGTTTTCGATCCAGTGATTGTAGATAGGTTAATATCGAACGATGGGAATAGAATTTACTTTGTAATTGTACATATACCTGCTGGTATATACACTAGCGGGTTTGTATCAGAACTTTTAAAACTTGAAAGGGAAAGGTCTACTGCTGGTCTGACCACCTGCTAGGGAGGCAGTAGTCAAAAGTTGGTAGGAGCGATGATATCAATGTCAAGATTAGCAGCAGTAGTGTGGGATTTGATCCAGATCCCAATCAGCTTGAGCCGGCTAGTGTTTCCTAAGTAAGTGGTCATCACAGAAAGGGTTAAAGATAAGAGTTTTACCGCGGTTTTTTCAAAGAAAGTTCATTAGGCAGCACACATAAAGGCTGTCAACAGTTCGAACATAATCCAGACATAATCTAAGACCTTGGTAGCGGTATACACAATGGAACCAAAGTCTAATCTTTACTGATCTTTATTATTCAAATCTTAGTAAAGGTTTCAAGAAGTATACATATCAATGACAAAAGTGATGTCCGATACAATTTCCTATTTTTACTTGTACCTTACGTTTCTAATTTCCGGTATGATTTATGATTTATTCGGAATTGTACAGACGATTTCTTATGGATGTGGAAACGGTTTTGCCGTTTATATTAAAATACAAACACTTGGATATCGATGATGGCAAACATATTTCTGCCTGTTTCCTACTCTAGCTTGTTTGCAATCGTCCCTGAACCCTGGGTTATTACTGATGTGTTTGTCAGCAGAGCACTTAAGAATAGTTTCATCAGCTATGTCATATTTTTTCCGGGAGCAACTGACATAGATCAACATGTCCAAATTGAATTCGACAGCAAATGAATATTAATGAAGCATTGGCCAGTTGCCCGTATTAAGATTCCACCTACCTGAAGGATAGTCAGTCGCTGGTCATTTCTTTGTTTTGATTATTTCATTTCTGGTTTTGATTATTTATTTGATTTTGTCTGTGATACGGAGGTGAACAAAACCTGCTCATTTTGGGAGATTTGAGTCAGTTCATTGACTGGGATCTGGTTCTTTATACAAGATAAGGCTTTCGGCATTAAGTTTAAACTTTAGTAACTGGAGCATGAACAGGGGTCGAAACGGCAGCTGAATATGTTCTACTGGTAGTAGCTTGAGACTGATTGTGATTCTTGGTTGCTTGTGATTCTTCATTTTACACATTTGATGCCCCGAAAGGTAGCAAAGAGATTCCTGTCAATGGACTTTTGTCTGTAGTTTCGATGACTAAGAATCAAGTATTACTGAAGTGATCATATGATGTAGAAAACATATTTTCGTATATTTGTCTCTGAACAAGAGAAATAGTTTTGAGCCATGATAGATAACCGACTGCCAACAAGGACGCCATCGACTGCCAACAAGGACGATGCTGCAGTATAGACCAAACTGCAACACCAGAGCTGCAGGGATTTTATATTACGGACATAACGACTTAAATAGCTAAGGCACCTGAGAAAAATGTCTGGTTTGGCCCATGATAAGTTTCTTAAGAAAAATGTAAAATGTATATGTCACCAGATTGGCCCGTGGGATTCTTGCCAAAACGAATAATACAGCGTTGATGAAATGTTCAAGCACATAAACAAGTCGCACCATTTAATTGATAGAACCTGGCCCATTCTACCAACCGTGCAGGTGAAGGAAGGGTCAACGTGGTACGTTGGGCAAATGGAACACCATCCCGGAACCAGTGCCAGATTCCCGTTCTCCACTGACGAAGGGACACGGCTTGCCAAATTCGCTCGTATCTTACGACCAGGATACCCTTGTTAATTCAGTATCATTTGAAGCCAAGTTATGCAAAAAGAGTCACTAATCATGTTTCTGTCTCCAACGCCTCAAACCACCACATTCCCGTCCTCCGGGTCGCGGGATGTCCAGTATAGCAGTCTCTTACGACCAGGAATGAGGGTGCCGAGGAAAAAGATCGACACGAAGGAAGTTGCTCTTCATGCGTGTGGATACGCATCATACACGCGGAGAAAGACGCGGGTACAGAACTTACACACATGCAATAAGAAGAGACCTGTGCGCCTTATACACGCGGGCAATGAGAACATTTTACACACGCGTAATGAGATTTAGTTGTTGGGGAGCATTATATACACCTGCATTGAGATATAGAGGCGAGTGCACATTTTACACACAGGTTATGAAATGTAGAGGTGGAATCACAATATACACACCAGCAATGAGATATAGAGGCAGGTGCACATTTTACACATACGTCATGAGATGTAGAGCTGGGAACACAATATACACACCAGCAATGAGATATAGAGGCAGGTGCACACTTTACACACAGGTTATGAGGTGTAGAGGTGGGATCACAATATCCACACGAGCAATGAGATATAGAGACGGGTGCCCATTTTACACATACGTAATGAGATGTAGAGGTGGGATCACAATATGCACACCAGCAATGAAATATAGAGACCGGTGCCCATTTTACACACAGGTTATGAGATGTAGAGGTGGGAACACAATATTACACACCAGCAATGAAATATAGAGACCGGTGCTCATTTTACACACAGGTTATGAGATGTAGGGGTGGGATCACAATATAAGCACCAGCAATGAGATATAGAGACGGGTGCTCATTCTACACACAGGGTATGAGATGGGAGGCGGATGAACGTTATATGGCCAGGCAATGACATATAGTGGCGAATGCACATTGCACACGCACACGCTAGCCGAAAGTGCCAAGACATATGTACTGAATATTCTGATCAGTACTCGTCCTGATATTTCACTGTCTGGGTTGCTGTAATTTACTTTTGTGTTTAATGTATGTGATTGATCTCAATCAATCTATCCGTTAATTAGTATTGCCAATTCCACCTCAAGTAGCAAGTGAGTTTAGTTTGACGCCGCACTCAGCAATATTCCAGCTATATGGTGGCGGTCTGTAAATAATCGAGTCTGGACCAGACAATCCAGCGATCAACAGCATGAGCTTCGATCTGCGCAATTGGGAACCGATGTCATGTGTCAACCAAGTCAGCGAGCCTGACCACCCGATCCCGTTAGTCGCCTCTTACGACAAGCATGCGTTACTAAAGATCAATATTCTAACCCGGACCTTCACGGGTCTCCACCTCAAGTACTGATCGGAAAATTTCACCATAAGATAATTTCACCATCAGAATGCACCTTAATTGGAGGGCACGGGGGCCTAGGGGGACAGTTTCATGATTGCCATTTTTGCACAGCAACTCTCATTTCACCAAAATATATCTACACTTACACGTCACGCTTATAACTTACAGGTCCAGAACCGCTGCATGAATGGGGGCGAATATGACCAGGACAAGCTAAGCTGTCAATGTTATGGTGGCTATATCGGCCAGTTCTGTGAAAGAATCATGCAGGGTAGGGCGTTAAATCACAACTGAACTGTCATTTCTACTCATACGTGTGTAGTACAGACATAATCATGCGATGAAGATACTCTTGTTTTTGAATAATTCGAAGAGAAAGTTGATTATTAATATACATACATTTGTAATTGCATCTACCTCTGACTACACTGAACTTAATTAATCTGGGAAGAATTCACTCATTAAAACCAACGGTTTTTCCTGTACAGCATTTAATAAAATATGCATGACATTTTTCAGATTGTACTGAAGGATATGACACAGGCCATTATACGAAGGGGAGCGGAATATACTTAATTTACCCAAATATGGCGCCCAGTCCTTTCAAAGTCAAGTGCAATATGCAATACCGTGGCCTTACATATATTCAAATGCACAAAGACGGATCTACCAATTTCAATCGGTCGTGGCAAGAGTACAAAGATGGCTTTGGGGATGTCACCAAGGATTTCTGGCTTGGAAACGACAAACTTGTTTACCTGACAAATAAACGTCCTCAGATGCTTACCTTTATATTTAAGGATATGAGTTCTACACGACAGCGAGTATACAAACATTTCACCCTATCCCAAGACGGCCTCTACACAATGACATACCAAACATCATGGGGGGCCACACTTCCTGAAAAACATGGAGGTGATTGTTTAGCCGAACTAAAGGGTCAGCCCTTCTCTACCTTCGATAGAGATAATGATGACAGTCTTCTGAACTGCGCTCAAGAACACAAGTCTGGATTCTGGTTCAAGAGCTGCACCCCCTGTAATCCCAATGGTGTTTGGTCTGAGACGCCGGACAAGAAGAGAGCTGGAGTACCTTGGGAGATGTTCTGGACGCCTGGAACAGAGGAAAACCTGATGTTGTCATGCAATGCCTATTTGAAAGCCTTCTAACTGTTTTAACTGCGGTAATCATCCGCAATATCTCTTGTGTCCAATCTGCCTTTTTGACAAATACCAAGTAGGACATTTCATAAGTGCATTTAATATAAATGTATCCAAACGTTTTATTTTAGTTTCAGATGTTATTTTTCAAACAGAAATATACTGATATAGCTAGTTGAGGAAGAATGCAGACATCTGTATGATTGTTTGTAGAAATATGAACCTTAACTTGCTTGACTGTGACTGTGAGTTATTATTTAACGTCACATCGGCAATATTTCAGCCATATCGTGACGAGAACACTTGACTTTGAAATAGAATATATATAGAGATTATAAAACCTGCCGACAAAGGACAGTAAAGCAACTAGAATATCACAGATATGTATGTAAAACTAGAATCTAAAACGTTTTAACTATAGGGGACAACACAATATAAAAATGGGCTATAGATCGCCACCAACTGAAGGTAGATCACCATACTAGGAGCCATGGGGACTTACATAATTACTTTTGCTACATGCATGGACCCTAGCTGGATTTACACCATCCCTTCAGCCGCTGGCGATTGTAGGAAAATTGTAGCCAACAGTTAAAATAACAAAAATACTACGTTTAAAATGTGATAATTTATATTTTACTTTGAAAGTTTTGGGACTTACGTACCCTCTCAGGAGGACAATAATTTTACGGTACTTTAACCCCTTTGAGGGTACAGCCACTAACAATCTAAACTATCAATCATTAAAACACATCTATCTACAGAACATATATATCAAAATTCATTAATTAAATCAATTTCTTTTAAAAAAGCAAGAATTAAATGAAGATGAACAGTATTAAAAAGATCCTTAACAGTTTTAACATTGAAATATTTATCCCTTTTGATGGAGAATTCAACACAGTCAAGCAGGAGATGCTTGACTGTGACTCTCTCATCACAAGGGATACAAAACGGAGGATCTTCACCTTTTAGCAAATATTTGTGAGTGTACCTTGTATGGCCAATACGACATCGTCGCATGATGACCTCTTCAAATCTGGACTGACAACCCAAGTAGGTGTAACCAATATAGGGTTTTATTTCATGTAATTTATTAATACCCACCTGGGTGTCCCACTTCTTTTGCATCAGATCGCGGATGTAAGTTCTAATGCTAGCTTTGTAATCAGAGTATGGAATAAGAAGTGGTGTCACAGATTTGTTGAGTGCTGCCTTGGCAGCAAGATCGGCCATTGTATTCCCAGAAATGCCAACGTGTGGGTAACCAACAGATTTGTTGAGTTCATTATATTATTCAATAATTTCTAATAAAAGTGGATGTTTGCAAGAGAGATTTTTAATAGCCTGAAGGCAAGAAAGAGAGTCAGAAAAGATTATATATTGTTTATGTTTAGGATGTCTTTGAATATATTTAAGAGCTGCTAAGATGGCGTTTGCTTCTGCTATAAATATAGAGCTGTTATCCGGTATTCTAGAAGATAATGTTCTGGATCCAATGACAGTGGCACATGCCACCGTCCCTGGACCCATCTGTAAATAAGGATTTGTATGTATTATATTTACTTCTTAATTGACTAAATTCTTGTTTATACTGTAGTTCATTTGTTTCTGATTTTTTAAATGTAGTTAATGTTAGGTCAACTTGTGGCCTAACCAATTGCCAAGGCGGAGAAGACAGAAGACGGGAACGAGATATATTTTCCAGCTCAATGCCGGCAGCCGAAATGAATGGTTTAATTCTCAAACCAAGAGGCGGAACAAGAGAAGGCTTTTTGTTGTACAGATCCTCATAAAGAGGATTAAAAACACAGTTAAATGCAGGATTTGACTCATTAGAATATAGTTTTGTTACATACTGCAAGGATAGTTTTATACGGCGTTGTGCAAGAGATGGCTCATCTGCCTCAACGTAGAGACTGTCAATAGGAGAAGTTCTGAATGATCCAAGACAAAGTCTCAGACCTTGGTGGTGGACAGAATCTAATAATTAATCAAGCTTCGAGCGGACCAATGATCTATACAGGTGTAGGAGGGTACTTTGGTCCCCTCCCCACTTTGAATTAGAAACGACTGTCAATAAATCGATTGCCTTCAGGCATTTATTTTTAAGGGATTTGATATGCGGAAGAAAGGTTAAATGGGAGTCAAAAATCAGACCTCAGAACTTGGCCTCCTGTACAACCTTGATGGGAGTGCCATTTAAAAACAGTTCTGGGTCTTTATGTGGTTTATATTTACGGCAGAAATGTATGCAATTAGTTTTTGCTTTAGAAAATTTAAAGCCGTTTTCAAGACACCATTTATTTATTTTGTTTAGACACAATTGCAATTGCCGTTCAATAGTATGCATATTCTTACCGCGACAAGAAATATTAAAATCATCCACAAAAAGTGATCCATCAATTGAAGCATTTAAAACCTTGGATAAACTGTTGATCTTAATACTAAACAATGTGGCAGACAAAATACTGCCCTGTGGGACACCCTGATCCTGATTGTAACGGTCAGACAGGGTTGAACCCACTCGGACTTGAAATTGCCTGTTATTTAAAAAGCTGGATATAAATTGAGGCAAACGGCCTCGTAATCCAAAATCATGTAAATCTTTTAAAATCCCATGTTTCCATGTTGTGTCGTATGCTTTTTCTAAATCGAAAAAGATTGACACAGCGAGTTGTTTATTAATTATGGCATTCTTAACAAAAGATTCTAAACGTACTAAATGATCGATAGTACTTCTGTTTTTACGGAAACCACATTGTATATCTGTTATTAGGTTATTGGTTTCCAAGTACCAAAGAAGTCGATTATTTATCATGCGTTCCATGGTCTTGCAAACGCAGCTAGTTAGTGAAATGGGCCTATAATTGGAAGGATCAGTATGATCACGTCCAGGTTTAGGGATGGGAACAGTTATAGCATGACGCCACGACGAAGGAAAATTTCCAGACGTCCAAATATCATCAAAAATGGTTAAGAGGGTCTCTAAACATGATTCTGGTAAGTGCTTCAGGAGTTGATAATGTACGTTATCAGCTCCTGTAGCAGTATCATGAGCCTGGTCAAGAGCAGTACGGAGCACATGAATCGAAAATACTTCATTGTAATCTTCCCCATTATCTGAAGTGAAATTAATAGTTTTCTTTTCTTTTTGTTTTTTATATTTTTGGAATTGAGGTACATAATTCGATGAGGAAGAGTGTCTAGCCAAAGTTTCTCCAAGTTTATTTGCAATATCGGATTTACTAGTTAATAACTTGTCTCCGTCTTTAAGATGCCTAATGCTAGATTGAGAACCCTTGCCTTTGATTTTCTGGATCATGTTCCATACTTTGGTTATCGGCGTACGTGAATTGATTTGCGATACATAGTTTCGCCAAGATTGACGTTTATTTTGTTTGAAGGTACGTCGTGCTTTTGCATTTAAGATTTTGAACTTGTTCAAATTATGGACCATAGGATGGCGACGTAAATAACTTGCTTGAAAATGTTTGTGCATTGTTATTGTGAATGTGACATTTTTAGTGAGTGAGTGAGTTAAGATTTTAAGTCACATCGGCAATATTTCAGCCATATCGTGACTAAAGCAAGTTATAAATATATCAACAATTTAAGTGAAATTATAAAATTCTGCCGACGAAGGACAGTAAAATAACTAGAGTATCACAGATATAGATAAAACTAGTAACTAAATCTAAAACATTTGAACTATACAAGACGATACAATATAAAAAACAGGCTATTGATCGCCAACAACTGAAGGTAGATCACCATACTAGGGACCACTTAAATTGGGACTTACAGTACATTCGCTTCCTGCATGGACACTAGCTGGATTTACACCATCCCTTCAGCCGTTAGCAATTTAGCAAAACTAGCCATACATTAAAAGAACAGGTATTCTACGATTAAAAAAGTGGAACATTTTAATTTACTTCGAATGTTGTGGGACTTACATACCCTCTCAGGAGGACAATAATCTAATTCTTTTAAAAATGCAATAATTAAATGAGAACTGATACTATTAAAAAGATCCTTCATAGTTCGTGATTTAAAATATTTATCCCTTGTGATGGAATACTCAACACAGTCAAGCAAGACATGCTTGACCGTGATTCTTTCATCACAAGGGATACAAAATGGAGGATCCTCACCTTTCAATAGGCATTCGTGAGTATATCTTGTGTGGCCAATACGACATCGTCGCATAATGACCTCTTCAAATTTGGACTGACAACCCAAGTAAGTGTAACCGATATAGGGTTTTATTTCATGTAATTTATTGATACCTACTTGGTTGTCCCACTTCTTTTGCATCAGATCACGGATATAAGATCTTATAGCAGCTTTGTAATCAGAGTATGGGATCAGAAGTGGTGTCACAGATTTGTTGAGTGCTGCCTTAGCAGCAATATCAGCCATTGTGTTCCCAGAAATGTCAACGTGGCTGGGTAACCAACAAAAGACGATGTCGCATTGGCCAGTAGCAAGTTCATTGTACAATTCAATAATGTCTAATAAAAGTGGATGTTTGCAAGAAAGATTTTTAATAGCCTGAAGACACGAAAGAGAATCTGAAAAGATGATATATTGTTTATATTTACGGTGTTTATTAATATATTTAAGAGCTGTTAGTATTGCCTTTGCTTCTGCTGTGAAAATTGAACTGTCATTGGGTATTCTGGAAGATATTGTTTTTGACCCAATGACATTGGCACAAGCAACCGCGCCACCATCCTTGGATCCATCTGTATATAAGGATTTATAGGTATTATATTTATTTCTTAATTGACTAAATTCTTGTTTATACTGTAAATCATTAGTTTCGGATTTATTAAATGTGGTTAATGTTAAGTCAACTTCTGGCCTCACCAATTGCCAAGGAGGAGAAGAAAGAAGACGAGAAGGAGATATATTCTCCAGCTCAATGCCAGCAGCAGAAAGGAATGGTTTAATTCTGTGCCCAAGAGGCGGAACAAGAGAAGGCTTTTTGTTATACAAATCCTCATAAAGAGGATTGAAGACACAGTTAAATGCAGGATTAGATTCGTTTGAATATAGTTTGGTAATATATTGTAAAAATAATTTAATACGGCGTTGGGAAAGAGAAGGCTCATCTGCCTCAACATAGAGACTATCAACTGGAGAGGTTCTAAATGATCCAAGACAGAGTCTTAGACCTTGGTGGTGAACAGAATCAAGTAGTTTAAGGTT